TTTTCCTCTAATGAGAAGAGAAAACACAGCCAGTATGGAGCAAATATATTCAAGATAGCTTTTGTGGACACTATTTGAACTTACTTGCTCCATGAAGTAAATAGTTCAAACAATCCACATTTGGCAACATTTCAAAATAATGGGATATATTTACAATTTCCTTAGGTAGTACCTCCAAAACAGTTCCCTGATGTCTTAATGGCAAGCCCAGTGAATTGATAAAAGTTGGTACATTTACTTAGGGTGGATTTGGATCAGGCCCCTGCAAAAAGAAAAGTAAATTCCGCGTTTGAAGAGTTGTAGAGATAATAGGGAGTTACATCTGTTGTGAGTGTAAAGTTAATAGTCTAGGGCATCACGTTTTAATGCATCTAATATTAACTAAAGCGATTAAAAGTATTATGAAAGTATAATCAGGTTGGTGGTGTGCTGAAGGCATGTTATGCTGTGCTGTGGTGATTTTTGTAGTCAAAACATTTTACTGTTCCCATCAGGCATCAGCATTAAATGTCCATTGTCAAATTACACTAAGTGGCAAGCAGTACATATGTATTTGTGATAAGTCAGATTCAGACTTTAAAAAATAATCTTAATAAGCAGATGCTAATGTTGAGAATGGATAGGGAAGAAGTGAGGATTAGCAGTGTTCAGGCTTAAAAAATACTTCAATACTTGTATGTATTCTTCTCATGTTTTTTATCAAGTTTTTTTTATTCTTCTGCCTTAACTCTGTGATAGAGTTTGTTCTTTGCCCTTTCATTTCTGCTCTTGCTAGTTTTGGTTTCTCTTCCTCTGTTTCAGTTTTCACTCTCCTCCTTGTTTTTTCAGTCGTTGCAAGCAGACTTCTGCAAAATAGGAAATGTGTGTTCTGGTCTCTGCAAACAGCCTGGATTAGGGCTGCTCTTACCCTCTTCCTCTAGAGTTTGCTGTCCTGGAGAAGATCTTGACCTCACTTATTTGGGTGATATTTCATCTCACTTCTAGAAGGGATGTTGTTTTATTACATGCTAGGATAGATGGACCGTGCAGTGTCCCAGTATGAAAAGAGAGAATGAGATATGTAGGAAATTTGATAATTTTGAGGGGTTAAAAAAAATCCACTAAAAATATGCAGTGGACCTGTGGTGGTCACTGAATCCAGTGCCTCGATAAAATCGAACTGCCAACCTGTGCACTGGCTGCGTGATTTTTATCCTGTTTTATTTGTTCTGTTTTCTGTGATGTTAAGTGATAGAATTAAGAGTACACAGACACGGTTACTCTTAATGACCACAAGCGTGAATTTCTGTAGTGTAACTGTCCTGAAAGACAATGTTGGAAATACTAAGAAATTACTAGATGATTTACGTGCTTCTACATCCCTCTGGAGAAGAAGAGATGGCGATGTAGTTTAAGAAAGTTTTTCAGAGTAGACATGCTGAGCTCTGTGTTTCTTGATGTATGGTATGTCAGATTGTCTGTTATTGCTTTTTGGTTTTTATTAGAAAAGATGCTATATTGGCCTTTTCCAAATAGGAAGCATTTTCCCTTATCGTATGCTCAACAGATAATGAATGCAGTTAAGGTATCTCAGGATTGCCTGTGGCATGGGCTTGTTCTAGTCTTGGTGAAGAGTACACAATATATCACTTAGTTACCTTTTTAAAAATATTGTAACTAAGTTACATTTGAAAGGAGAAGTGAATTCTGGAGGTCACAATGTTCAGAGGTTTCATATTGTGGAGGTAAGTGGCGCTAATAGAATTAACGTAACTAGCAGCTCCTAACAGTATTTGTATGTTGATGCCATATAAAATGCTGCATTTATGGAAAAATAAATGGAGAGTTTGAGGTCTTGGTTTAAATTTTTAGTTTGACCTTGAAAAACATTCCCAGATGGAGAGAGTTAAATGAGCCCAGCTTTGGAAGAGGAACATACGAATCACGGTTGCTAGGCTCTTCCTTGAGAGGCACAGGCTTTGCATTTGCAGTGAAGTATTTCAAAAAGTAATCTTTAAACTCGGAGGAGCAGTGCAGTTGAAATGGCACTGGTGAAATACTATAAACTTCATTAGACTTTTAAATACAGAATTTACATGTCATTAAATTAAACGGGTATAAAGCATTAGACGTTAGAATATCAACTGCAAGACTTGTGAACTTTCATAAGTGGTTAAGGGGGGAACAGAGAAATTCAGCATCCGTCTTCTGCTCTTGGTACGTACTCGTTACGTAGGCCTTGTTAAACTGTTCTGTATATTATTCTCTAACATTTGCTCGGTCTAATTTGTCATTCTCATAACAGTGCCACATAGGTGTTTGCCCTGTTGGAACACAGAAACAGAAGTATCATTTCCCTGAATCCTGTTCTTGATCTGCTCGACTAAAATGACAGTGAAACACCTTAAACATGTGGGAGCTTACCTGCCTAAGGCAGGCTCCTGGGTTGGGAAGTGTGGACTGAGGTCTCTTCCAGTTGTCCTGACTGATCTTGGTTGGGTCACACGCCTTACAGTTTCAAATCCGTTGTTAAAACTAATGTTTAGGTCTCTCTGAAATACCGACACTACTTTTTGCCCAAGGGTATCTTGTCCGTGGCCCTACGGGCTGGTCTCATGTGTTTGTGCAGTGCTCAGCACAGCCGGGTTCCTGTCCTATTTGAATGGTTCTTTATGAGTTTGTGTATTTCCTAGCATTTTGGCATTGCTTTCTGGCACTTGGAGCTTTGCTTTGTAAAACTCTGAAGATGTGCTTCACTGTGTAAAGGACACTCGTAAATTATTCAGATTATCTTGGGATCCCCAGACTGAAACAGGAAAACATTTTTGTTCCCATCAATTTCTGCCAGTTGGTTTCATGTGTAGTTTAAAATTGCAGGTCTGTATTGCCATCAAATATTCACAAAAGGGTACTTCCGTAGAGTGAGCTTCGTGTCTCAAGACTAGTGTCTTGCAAGAGACGGAGAAGCAGGCATCCTTTCCTCCTGGTAATGATTTCACCCCCTGCATTCTGTACAAGCTGGTGTAAAGTCTGTGAATCCAATGTTGTCTGAAAGGTACAGTTAGGAGGATGGGTAACATGGTGTGGATTTACAGTTCATTAGACATTTTACAGGAGCAGCCTGTCTGCATGCTATTAACAGTGTAAATAGCAGGCAGTGCGTGCTGTTATTGTCCCATTCATCACGGTGTATGTAGTCGAAGGGAAGTGACCCTGGTGTGTTTGCTTGCCGTGTGGAAACTCCTTTACACAGGCGTACCCAAAGAGCTCCTCCATGAAATATTAGCAATGTTGTTTAAGTTTATACTTATTTTTTTCTTACCTAGCTCAGTATTACATCACAGAAAGTAGATATGGAAAAAATAGAATTTTATTATTCCTATCTGATTTTTTTTTCCCCTACATGTATTACTAGTTTTGCCTGGTTTGCAGTAAGTGTGCTCGAGGCCCTAATACTTTTTAAAAATAAATATATTAATAAATAAGCAAGGGTCGCTATTTAATGAAGTGCAAATCAGATTATTTATTTTAATGTAACCTCAGTTGCAGAAGGGTGCCTGTGACTCGG